TCTCTGCTGTCTAACGCGCGCAACAGTGAGTGTGTGGAGTGTAGAGGGAGGGAGGGGGGGGGGGAGGGCCAACGGCACCACCGGAGCCCGAGGGTCTAGAGGGTGTTGCCCAAGTCGAACACATACGTGCCGCTGACCGGCAGGCGCTGGACCAGGAAGAGGAGGCCGTTCTTCATCATGATGTTGCACACACCCAACAAGTTCCTCCGATCATACTGTTGCGGTGGAGTGCGGGGGATGCGCATGTGCGCGGGTGCACGTGAGGGGAGGGGAGGGGAAGGAACAGTCAGCAAGAGGGCGTGCACGCGCATGGGGAGTGTTTGCGCGTGTGTGTGTGGGGGGGGGGGGGGGGGAGGGGAGCGCCAGATGCATAATTGAGTGTGTAGGGATGGCCTTTCTGGGCCACGTCCACACACACACATATATAAAAAAGAGAGAACAGATCGACACAGAGGGTCCCCGTCGGCCGATCTTCGAAAGGCCGGGCGCAGGAGCCACAGCAGACAACGAGGACAGATCGCCGGAGACATGCTCGCTCGACGTACCCCAGGCTCGCTGGACGGGTGGTGGCTGATATATCGCTGGAACCAGGCGCACAGCTTCAGCCGGGCCACCGGCTGGCTGAGGATGTTGATCAGGCCATGGGAAATGAGAAAGCGCAGCTCCTGATAGAGGACCTTTGTCAGGCGAGAATTCAGCCGCAATAGCTCCTCCTCCCCGGCCGACAGGGGCGCATCCTTGGCATACACGCAAGGGGCCCAAATGAGCGAAGGCAAGTCCGCCAGCTGCCCCAGGTCGAAGTTGTCCGGCAGAATGGTCGGCTCCGTGGGGTAGGTAGTGTCGCCATTCGTGGGGACCGGGCGCCAGGGCCGGTTGGGATCTAGGTTCAATGAGCGGACCCCGGGGTTGTGTACGGCGCTTGTGTGTGGGACTGCCGGTGTCGCCATTGCCGCTGTGGTGGCGTCGGTGGAGGTGCTGGCAGTGGGAGCAGCATCAGCAGCGGGGGCCGCAGCATCGGCACCACTCCCGCTACTGCTGCTGCTGCTGCTGGTGGGCTCGTCAGACGATGGGCGGGCGGCCGCCGGAGTCTGCATGTCTCCAGACGCCGGGGCCGATGGTGCATGGGTAGCAACAGCCGCGGCCGCTGGGCCGGCAATCGCCGGGTCACGGGCCCCCTTCCTGGCGACCGTCTGGCTGCCAGCGCCGGCGCCGGTGCCGGTCCCGCCGTCGGGCGGGGCGTCCTCCGCCATCGGCGAAGGGTGCGCCACGCCCGCAGTCTCGGCTCCATCAGCGACCGACCCGGTGGTCGGGGCGGTGTCAGCCACCGGAGGGGAGGCCCTCGGCGGCGATGGCGAGCGGGAGACCTGCACCGGGGAAGGAGGAGAAGAAGAAGAAGAAGACCGCGTGGTGGCAGGCTGGCTGTCGCTGGGTTCCGACCTTGGTGTCGATGCCGGTGTCGTCAGAGGAGAGGGCACCGGCGCAGCCGCCGCGACAGGGTCCGGGGTGGCCGAACGACGAGTGACACGCCGTGACAGGGACTCCAGGGACAGGGTCGGCGGGGGGGACCCTCGTGGGCGAGACTGCCGCGTCAGTCGCGTACTGCGTGGGGGCAGCGAAGTTATCGACCGCGCGGGATTGGAAGCTGGGCTGGGGCTCCGCCGGGAGGCCGCGGATCCGGACCGCGTGACGACCACCGTCGCCTTGGCAGCGGCGGCGGCGGCGGCGGCGGCGGCGGCGGCAGCAGCAGTGCGCGTGACCACTCGGCCCGACGGCACCAGGGCGGGATTCGTGCTGGCATTGAGGCTTTCCCGCGCAAAGGACCGGGCCATGCCCTTGGCATCGCGGCCGCGAACTTTGGCCTCCGGAATGCCGGCCTCGATGGGGTCCGTGTCGAGCAAGAAATCCTTGGCCATCGTCTCGTAGTACAGCTTCCCGGAGGAACAGGCCACCGGGAGGACCGAGGACCCGGCGGGGCGGGGGGGGGGAAGGGGGTGACCACACCTGTCAGAGGTCTGGCCGGGGGGGGGGGGGGGCCCGAGACAAAGTACCAAAGACAAAGAGGAAGGAGCACCCCGCGAGGACATACCATCCGCTCGGTGGCCGACATGTGCGCGTAAAGGATGTGATCATGCAGGTAATACTCCCCCGGGACACTGATGGAGCAGCCGTGCCACTGGCACTTGATCGGTGTGTCGAAATTGGCCACCATGCCGGGCGGGCGATTGAAGTAGAACTTCAGCGAGGCCTCCATCACCTCGGAGGCGGCCCGCATGCCGGAAATGAAGGCCCCATGCACGGTGGCCGGATAGTCGGCGGAGGTGCATTCGCCGGCGAAGAAAATCCTGAATCCCACCCGCAGCAATGCCCAGGATGAGGGGAGGACAGAGGGGGGGAGAAAGAGAGAAGAAGAAGAAGAAGAAGAAGAAGAAGAAGAAGAAGAAGAAGAAGAAGAAGAAGAAAGAGAGGGAGGGCAAGGAGAGTCAGCCGACCGGCGGGGCCACAGCCAGGAACACCATGCAGGAGAAGGCCGACTCCGGGGATGGGAGGAAAGCACGCACCGGCCACCATGCGACGTGCTGAGGGTCGCATAGTCCGCACCCGAAGAGGTGGGCGCGATCGAGGAGTAGGACCCAAGGAAGTTGGCTGCCAAACCATGAGAGGAGGCCGAAGGGGGGATGGGGGGGG